CACGAGAGCATTGAAGGGACCTGAATGTCCACAAGGAATGTAACCAGGGTAAAGGGTCTACATGCCCTTGGACGTCTCTCCCTCTGGAGATGGCCCTCTTCTCCTCTGAAGGTGCTTTCCTAAATAAATCTGTCGGGGGTGGGATTTTCTGTATCCTTGCCAATGGTGGAATAGCCTACTGGTGTTAGCCAGAGCGAACAGCAGCACATGGTGGCTTTTAAAACAGAGATGACTCGGTCTTAACCCCAAAGAGTCCACTCATCAGGTCCAAGGCTTAAGATAGTGTAGATTTCCAAAGTGCCTCCTGTGATTCTGGTGCCCAGCCTGAGTGAGGACCACTGCCCAAGACCGAAAGGAGACTTCCAATGGAAGCTGCAAATCTCTTCTGGGTCTCACCAAATTAGAGAATTCTGGATTCCAGATGTGGCAGAGAGGGATAAACAGAGTCTATCAGGACCCCAAGCTGCAGTGGAAACTAGACTTCCAGCTCCACCTCACAAACCTCTTCCCCTCTAGATGGTTCCTGAAAACCCATAATCACAGACGCTCTCCTTTGTCCTCTCACAGTATATTTCCAGATCGGGTGACAGCCCCCCCACCCCCAACACACACACACACACACACACACACACACACACACACACACCCCTCGGTGTGAAATTGCTGAGATACTTTCTGGGAGGTCTACTGGGACTGTAGACCTGAGAGGAAGGTCACTGGCTGCCAGAGGAAAGATGTGCAGACCATCGTCGTGGATTAAAAGGATGAAGGAAATAAGAGCCCAGTCTGGACCAGTCACCGCAGGTCAGGAAAGATGACAATCTCTTATACTTACACCCAGTTCTACAAACTACAGAGTATTTCTTAAAGTGCCATTTAATGTATTCATGTGAATACCCATCAAAGTACCACTGAAAGGCAAGGACGGTTTGATCCTACACAATAAACAAGGAATCTTTAAGATTTTGTCAAGAAAAAAAAAAAAAGAAAGAAAACAAAAAAATTTTGTCAACACTCCTAGATCTCTCCCACCAAAATGCAAGTGAGTTCATGACAAGAACAGGAATCCAGATGCTTTCATCGGCTGGAGGACGGAGACGCAGAGGGACCCTAACAGACCAAAAGAGACCTTACAAAGACCATGACTTTGGCTAATGTATGTGATTAAGTTCCAAGAGTTTAAGTGCCTCAATTAAGAGTGTATGCTGTAGAGGCATTTTAAAAATGGAATTTAGTAGAAAATGCAAGGAAAGTGACTATTTCAACAGTGCTCTTTATCCTAACCCTGACATCAGCTTTTACAATGGTTAATTTTATTGTACTTGATTTTGGCCCCAAGTGTCCAGATATTTGCTCAAACAATATTGTGAGTGTGTCTGTGAGGGTGTTCTTGGACGCAATTAACATTTAAATGGATAGACTGAGCAAAGCAGACTGCCCTCCCTCATATGGGTGAGCCTCATCCAAGCAGCTGAAGGCCTGGTGAGACCCAAAGGGCTTGGAGCGAGAGAAGTTCCCTGCCTGACTGTGAACTGGACCACTGGCTCCTCCTGGGTCTTGAGCCATCAGCCTTGGGTCTAGAGACAGCCACCGGCTCTCCAGCTTGTCCTCTCCTGCAGACCTTGAGACTTCCCCATCTGCACGATCACCAATTCCCTGGTGTGCGTGCACGTGGTTTCTCCAGAGACCCTTGAGTAATACAGTCTACCCCACAGATCTCTATGGCAGGAGAAGCCAGCATCAGTCGCACATCTATTGCATTTAAAGACAATATTTACCTTGTCTTTAAGGTCAAGGTTCTTTATACAGAGAATCAGTTACTGAGCTTAACGGAGGATTTGTGGTTGGATAAGAAACGATGAGATGTTTGACTTTTCTTCCTGCACTCACCAAGTTCTAGGGAGTGGCTAGAAGATCTGCAGGTGAAAGTTGGGCTGTGAATGTGGATTCAGAGGGGCTCTTCTGGGTCTGGCCAAATTAGAGAATTCTAGATTCCAGATGTGGCTGGTTTCCTAGAGGGGAGGAGGTGGCAGAGGGCTGAATCCGTGAGCTCAAAACAGACCTCACAAGACCTGGAAAATCTGGAGCCCCACCTGTTTCCTCAGTAGAGGCCAAGGCCCACGTACCAGTCAAGGTCTGAATAAGCCAGCCCTCCGGACTCACAAAGACCCACACTGACAGTGCTGTCCGTGTGAACGCTGCTGTCCCTGACAAGCTACGGGGTCTGCTGCCCTCCCCGCAGGACTCGGTGCTCCTGAAGCCAGCTGCAGCAACTTCCACCTCAGTGACGCAGTGAACATCACTTCTTCCAAGGCCCAGGTTTCCTAAGAGAAGGAGCGGAGCTGCCTGCGTCCTCATTTAGTGACTTATTCATCTTGAACTGTTCCCCTTCCAGTTTTTAACCCTGACATTCAGATTTAGCCCACATTTAAAGTAATGCTAACTAAAAAGAAAACATTTTATGATAATCCTGCAGACGATGAGATAAAAGTGCACTTTTAAAATGTCAAGGCAGGAACAAAAGACAGTCTCCTTAGCTATTATGCTACCTCCGTTGAATTCAATCATCATCATCAACATTACCACTGAGCTGGAAATGTCATCGGCAGCCGTTTATCACAGATTTTTTTTTTATTAATCCTGGAATTTTCTTCCAAACATTATTACAAACCAAAATTTTCAAAATGAATTCCTGGAAGCCAAGACTGCCCCCTCTTTTCTGAATCCCTTGCACCCTGACAGCTGTCCCTGGACATTACTTTCAAAGGTAAGTCTCAGGACATGATATTAAAAACTCAACCTGTAGACTGAGCTTTCATTTCTTCTCATGTCCCTGCACAAAACAGAAAATGACAAGGATGAAAAAAACCTACTCTAAGGTGGTTTTCATTCTCTTTCACTGTAAAAGGATAAGTTATTGGCAAAATCACAGGGAAAACTCACATGTTTAAGCTCTGACATAAATTAAATGCTAAAAAGTTTCCTTTTCATTACAGCCATAGCTATATTCATTTAATGAGCTCAGAGAGGTTGTGCTCTGCTATAGAAAAGAGGGAGGGGAGAGATGAAGCCTGATGATAAAAATAACAAATGAATCAAATGAATGACACATTTTAAAAGATGACAAGCACATTCCTACCACACCCAGTGCTCCTAGAAAACTACTTTCCACTGTTTAGTCATTTAATTATGAAATTTGGCCAGTTGTCCATGACTAGGTTCAGCCTAAAGGATAATTCATTTGTCCTTTTTGGTGGAATAAACTGAAAAATTTCCATGTTTTACAAACTCTAAAAACCTATCTTCATAGAAGACACCAACCAGTGACACAGATTATGCTAAAGTTCATTAGTAGTTAGAACAACCAGCTACAGTTTAGAGAATCAATTTTGTTTGGTTTCGAGATAAAATTTACTCTAGTTTATAACCAATATACTTCCCAACACACTGAGCTGAAAAAAAAAAAAACAAGTTGTGATAACAGATAACTTAAGGGTTAATTTCTGACTTATGCCAAATAATTCACCCCATGGTTTAGTGAGCAAGGCATCATCTGATGTACCCAAATCCTACTGAGAAGCAGGGGAGCCTCCGCAGCACAGATCTGGATTCAGACCCCAGCTCTGCCACTGAACAGCTGTGTGACATTAGAAAATCCAATTCACCTGAGGGCACTACGGACACATCTTTACCTATGGAGTGACTATGGCCTAAAACAGGAGCTCTCTTAGTGACCAGGGAGGGAATCGTGGCAGGGAGCGAGCAGGAGGAGGAGTTGTGCTAC